AGGCTGTAAAGTCCCCTGAGGGTAAGCAGGAGGTAGACCGGGTGGGTCTGGACTCTGGAGCTGTGGGGTCAGAGAGGGAGGATAAGAACAAGGGAGGGGGATGGTCTGTGGTGGGAGGGGGTGGCAAGAACAAGACAGTACTATCTTCTTCTTCTTCCTGTTCATCCTTAGATGTTGAGGAGGTACCTGTTGAAAATAGGTACAGTTTATTGTTTGGGGAGGAGGGGGATATAGGGGAGAATTTATCCCCTATGGAGGATGAGGATACAGGGGGTTCCTTTAAGAAGGCTAGACCCCCGGCAAAAAGTGGGAGAACAAAGGCTAAGAAACAGCCATCTCAATTATCTTAATGGCAGTTCCCGCTCCGATAAAGGTGGCAACCATTAATGTTGCCAGCATTAAATCTGTAAGTGCATGATATACAGCCTTATTTTTGCTCAGCAAGATTGGAGCTGATGTTTTGTTTTTGCAAGAGACCAGGCTTAATAGCCTGGCTGATTTACACCTGGCCAGGTGGGAGTGGAGGTGTGTGGTCCCTCTTATTGGTCTCTTGCGGCTGAGCCTTACAGCGGAGTTGCGGTGCTTTTTTCCGGCATGGCAACGTGCCGGCGGGTCATTGAGGTGGAGATTGGAAGGTGCATGGTCCTGGACGTCCTCATGAAGGGGCATGAATTGCGTTTAATTAATATATATGGTCCCCAGTCCTGGTGGGACAGGAAATGCCTTTTCAAGAAAATTAAGCCTTTCCTTTTTACGTCCCGGCAGGTTGTCTTTCGAGGTGATTTTAACACCATCACTAGGCTCAAAGACAGGAAAGGCTCCAATGACAGGCTGGGATATGACAGCGTTTTCTTAAATGCAATAGTCAGGGAAGCAGGTCTGGAGGATGCCTTAATTAAGAGCAGCCTGGACAGCACGGGGTTCACTTTTAGAAGAGGTAGAAGTGAGAGTAGGATAGATAGGTTTTTTTTGAAGGGGACTCTGCTTTCTCGGCACTTGAGTGTCGAGTGGTGGAGTTCTCCGATCACCTTATGTTAACTGTGACTTTGAATGCCTCAGATACGCCACTGAAGGGAAGGGGTGTCTGGAGAATTAATTTGGCTCTGCGGAGGACGAAGAGGTGAGACGATCCTTTGAGGATTTTCTTCAGGTTCAGGAGACCATCCTGGATTTCTGTGGCAGTAAGTTGGAATGGTGGGAGCCTATCAAGGTGCGGATTGGCAAGTTTTTCAAGGCCCTAGGTATGAGGAAACAACTTGAGAAATGCATTGCCTATCAGCAGTTACAGAGGAAGCTTGACTGTCTTGTCTCAGAGGGTGGAGATTCTGGGGCAATCTCAGAGCTTAACCTTCTCTTGAAGAAGTATCAATATGATCGGCATGCCTCTTTGGTTCTGGAAAGGGACTATGGGAAGTACCATTCGCCCGACCCTTATCAGAAATGCAAACAGAGCATAGCAATTAATACGGTCAGTGGACTGAGGGATAGTACGGGATCCTTGACGAAATCCAGGTCAGGGATCCTGGAGGTCTCAAGGTCTTTTTTTGAGGATCTTCTGAGAGAGAGGCACCTTGACCGGGCAGGGATGTTAAGCTTCCTAGACTCTACACCAGGTTTGGAGAATAACACCCCGCCCACAAGTTTGACCAGTGAGATCAAAGCTGAAGAGGTTGCTAAAGTGATAGACAGTCTGGCCATTAAAAAAGACACCAGGGCCAGATGGTTTGACAGCAGAGTTTTTTAAAACCTTCAAATCTAGCTTGGCACCTCACCTAGTGGAGGTGTTTAATTGCTGTCTAGATGGGGGTTCTCTCCCTCCCTCCATGAGGAAGTCAGCTGTGATCTTATTGTCAACGGGTAAGGACTCTTCGATGATTGAGAATTGGCGCCCCATTAGCCTGCTCAATGTCGATAGAAAGATCCTGGCCAAGATTCTTTTTGTGGCGTTTATCGTCGTGGCAGACGGTCTACTTTCGCAGCGGCAGCACTGCTCGGTCCAGGGCAGGAGTACCTTTTCAGCGGTGTTAGCTGTCTGGGAGGCTCTGGAGCGGTGCAGGGCTGACGGCTGTGGGAAGTACTTGCTGGCGTTGGATCAAGCTAAGGCTTTTGATCGGGTTGTCACAAGTACCTCTGGTGTCTCCTTGACAGATATGGCCTGGAGGGGAGGTTCATTGGATGGCTTCAGGCTTTGTATAAAGGGGCTGAGAGCTTCATGTTAGTCAATGGTTGGATTGGGCAGCACTTTGGGGTCGGCTCGGGGGTGTGCCAGGGGTGTCCAATGAGTCCTCTGCTTTATGTCTTTGCCATCAACCCCTTCATTAGAAGGCTAGATGGTGGGGTGTTGGGCAGGGTGCCGGTGGGCGCTTCTGGTGAGCCGCCTTTGAGGGTCGTGGCCTATGCCAATGACGTATCTGTATTCATCTCTGGGACTGGTGAGGCGCAGGAGGTGGTCTCGGTGATGGAGCAGTATGCGGAGGCATCAGGCTCCAAGATTAATCATGATAAGTGTGAAGTTTTCTGGATGGGCAGGGAGGGTGAGGGCTTTGAGCTTCCGGATGCTTTCCCCGAGTCCCGACAGAAGGTAAAAGTGCTAGTGTCAGGGCTCCCGGGTATGACCAGAGGTATGTGACTGACGCAGGGAAACGCAGACTTCAGATATCTTATAAACAATATAATTTATTAACACTAACAATACAAACATAAACGCAGTGCAATACTAAAACATAACACAGTGCAAACGAACCAAACCACCCACAGATAACAGTACATACAATGCAAGCGTCGTCAGGCAGGCCGGGTCAATAACAATCGGGCAGGTAGGTACAGGGGGAGCAAGCGGAGAATGGTCGGGGTCACAAGCCAGGTTCAGCAGGTAGCGGGCAGCGTGGTACAGAGGGTCAGGCAGAGGGATGGTCAGGAACGAGCCGGGGTCAGAGCAGGAGAGGGTCAGCGTAATCAGAACAGGCAGAGTTTGGCAACAAGAAAACGTACTAGCAGAAACACAGGAACAGGAACAAGAATGCAGGATTACAAGATACAGGGCCCAGGAAAAACACACACACCAAGGCAAAGACTGCAGGTCTGGCCATCACTTAAATACACCTGCATAAGCAGTTTCAGGTGTTTGGCTGACTGCAGGGTTGAGTCTCTGATTGCTGGGAGCACCCGCTGGCCAGCCCTGGTACTGCAGCCCACAAGGCAGGTGAGTCCCACCACTACTGGCAAGTCCATTCCTAACAGCTAGGCATCGAATTTGGCCCTGGTGATTAAAGCAAATCAAATTGGGAGTCCAGGTTATCAGATGCCGATGTTAAAGTGAGATGCTGGAAGGGGTGGCGGCTGTCCCTAAAGGAAAGGGTTGACCTAATCAAGACTTACTTGGTCCCTGTTTTCTTGTACGTCAGTTTCGTCAGTCTCTTGCCAGAGTCTCTCTACACAAGGGTTTACAGCTGCTTCTTCCAGCTATTATGGGGGAACAGGCTGAACCTTGTGAGGCGGGATGTGACTTACCGATCCAGGCAGGAGGGTGGCTGTCAGGAATGGACTTGCCAATAATGGTGGGACTCACCTGCCTTGTGGGCTGCAGTACTAGGGCTGGCCAGCGGGTGCTCTCAGCAATCAGAGACTCACCCCTGCAGTCAGCCAAACACCTGAAGCTGATTGCAGGGGTTGTATTTAAGGAATGGCCAGACTCACAGTCAGGGCCTTGGTGTGTGGTTTTCCATGGGCCCCTGTATCTTGTATCCTGTGTTCCTGTTTCTGCCTTACTTGTTGCCGACCCTGCCTGATCCTGACCTCTGCTGACTTCTCCTGTTTGATCCCTGGCTTGTGACCCTGACCATTCTCTGCCTGACCCTCTGCACCACGCTGCCCGTGAGTTACTGAACCCGGCTTGTGACCCCAACCACTCTCCCGCCTGTTCCTGGTACTCCGTTTGCCCATTTGCTACTGACCCGGCCTGCCTGACTACTCTTTTGTATTGTATGTATTGTTATCGGTGGGTGGTTTGGTTTGGTTTGTTTGCACTGTGTTTATGTTTAGTTTTGCACTGTGTTTTGTATTGTTAGTCTTAATAAATCATATTATTTATACCATATCTGAAGCCTGCGTTTCCCTGTGTCAGTCCACACACCTCTGGTCATGCCCGGAGCCCTGACATTACACCAAGGCCAATCCTGACCAGAAGTGGCTGCACAGGGAAGCCATCTTGGCTTATTGTTGCTGGGTAGGATGGATCTTGATGAGGTGGTGTATTTATCTCTGCTAGTGTTTGATGACAAAGACTATGCTTATCAGATTCTGAAGGAGTATCCCAGGGATCAACTACTAGAGTGTATAAGGATCGCTCATTGCCTAGTAGATCAGGGCACAGAGTTTTTTGAGGTGCAGCCATTGATCCAGGTTTGTGCTGAGTTGGCTCGGTCCTGTACCCCTGAAAGCAGGAATGACTTTTTTCCCCCATTTAGTGTGGATCAAGTGGAATCACTGATATGGTTGTTGGAGGATGATCCAGATTGCTTCCATGAGCATTATGCAGCTTGTCCATCACATGTGCTTATGGATTGCATAAACACAGTGCAGTCTTTGGTCAGACAGGCTATGTATAAGCTGAGTTTTGTTAAACCAGTACTGCAGACATGGACAGATTTGTTGCACCCAGCCTCAGTCAGCTTGCAACATCATTCCTCTGCTCAAGGCACTCTTCCTGCATCCCCGACAGCACCCCCAGTGATGGCCCAGTATACTCTGCTAACTACCACATACCAGTCCCCTGCTCCCACTCGCTGCACCTACCCTTTCTTTAACCCTGTAAAGAAGTCCTCTGTAGCAACTGCTCCCTCCTCTGTTCCATCCTCCAGCTCTTCTCTGTCTTTAGCTGCTCCATTCGTTTACAGACCTGCGTTTACTTACAGTACTCCAGTAACTAAAACCAGAAAAAAGCAAAAATTCTTTCCAACCAGTACATCCTGCCAGTATCCAAACCGGTCAGCCTGCCGTCTGAGAACCCGCCTTCCGTGGTTCAGCCTGGTGCCTCGGCACCCGCAATTCAGCCTGATGTCTCTACCCAGCCTGATGTCTGTACCCAGCCTGATGAACTGATCCAGCCTAATGATCCTATCATGCCAGGTGACTCGGTGCCCGCTCTCATGCCTGGTGACCCGATGCCCGCTGTCGAGCCAGACGATCCAATGCCCGATGACCCAGTGCCCGCTGTCATGCCTGGTGACCCGATGCCCACTGTCTTGCCAGATGACTCGGTGCCTGCTGTCAAGCCAGATGACCTGATGCCTGGTGACCCGATGCCCGCTCTCGAGCCAGACGATCCAATCCCTGATGACCCAGTGCCCGCTGTCATGCCTGGTGACCCGATGCCCGCTGTCGAGCCAGACGATCCAATGCCTGATGACCCAGTGCCCACTGTCATACCTGGTGACCCAATGCCCGCTGTCGAGCCAGATGACCCGGTGCCCCACTGTCATACCTGGTGACCCGATGCCCTCTGTCGTGCCAGTTGACTCAGAGCCCGCTGTCGTGCCTGGTGACTCGGTGCCCACTGCCTCGCCAGATGACTCGGTGCCCGCTGTCGAGCCAGATGACCTGATGCCTGGTGACCCGATGCCCGCTGTCGAGCCAGACGATCCAATGCCTGATGACGCAGTGCCCGCTGTCATGCCTGGTGACCCGATGCCCGCTGTCATGCCTGATGACTCGATGCCCGCTGTCGAGCCAGATGATCCAATGCCTGATGACCCAGTGCCCGCTGTCATACCTGGTGACCCGATGCCCGCTGTCGAGCCAGACGATATAATGCCTGATGACCCAGTGCCCGCTGTCATGCCTGGTGACCCGATGCCCACTGTCTTGCCAGATGACTCGGTGCCTGCTGTCAAGCCAGATGACCTGATGCCTGGTGACCCGATGCCCGCTCTCGAGCCAGACGATCCAATCCCTGATGACCCAGTGCCCGCTGTCATGCCTGGTGACCCGATGCCCGCTGTCGAGCCAGACGATCCAATGCCTGATGACCCAGTGCCCACTGTCATACCTGGTGACCCAATGCCCGCTGTCGAGCCAGATGACCCGGTGCCCACTGTCATACCTGGTGACCCAATGCCCGCTGTCGAGCCAGATGACCCGGTGCCCACTGTCATACCTGGTGACCCGATGCCCGCTGTCGTGCCAGTTGACTCAGAGCCCGCTGTCGTGCCTGGTGACTCGGTGCCCACTGCCTCGCCAGATGACTCGGTGCCCGCTGTCGAGCCAGATGACCTGATGCCTGGTGACCCGATGCCCGCTGTCGAGCCAGACGATCCAATGCCTGATGACCCAGTGCCCGCTGTCGTGCCTGGTGACCCGATGCCCGCTGTCGTGCCTGATGACTCGATGCCCGCTGTCGAGCCAGATGATCCAATGCCTGATGACCCAGTGCCCGCTGTCATACCTGGTGACCCGATGCCCGCTGTCGAGCCAGACGATCCAATGCCTGATGACCAAGTGCCCGCTGTCATGCCTGGTGACCCAATGCCCACTGTCGTGCCTGGTGACCCGATGCCCGCTGTCGAGCCAGATGACCCGGTGCCTGCTGTCGAGCCAGACGATCCGGTACCTGATGACCCGGGGCCCGCTGTCTTGCCAGTTGACTCGGAGCCCGCTGTCTTGCCAGATGACTCGGTGCCCGCGGCCTTGCCAGATGACTCGGTGCCCGCCGCTCTGCCTGGGGGCCTGATGCCTGCCACTCTGCCTGGGGGCCCGGTGCCCGCTGCTCTGCCTGGGGGCCCGGTGCCCGCCGCCCTGCCTGGGGGACCGGTGCCTGCCGCTCTGCCTGGTGGCCCGGTGCCTGCTGCTCTGCCTGGTGGCCCGGTGCCTGCCGCTCTGCCTGGTGGCCCGGTGCCCGCCGCCCTGCCTGGTGGCCCGGTGCCTGCCGCCCTGCCTGGTGGCCCGGTGCCTGCCGCCCTGCCTGGTGGCCCGGTGCCTGCTGCTCCGCCTGGTGGCCCGGTGCCCGCTGCTCCACCTGGTGATCCGGCATCTAGCCCGATGTGCCTCTGTCCGGCGTCCAGCTCGATGTGCCTCTGTCCGGCGCCCAGCCCGATGTGCCTCTGTCCGGCGCCCAGCCCGATGTGCCTCTGTCCGGCGCCCAGCCCGATGTGCCTCTGTCCGGCGCCCCGCCCGATGTGCCAGTCTTTGATATTCCGCCAGTTACCGGACCTGGGCGGTGGAACATTTTGCCCAGCTAGGACTGTTTGTGTCAGGAATCTAGGAATGACCAGAAAGGCGTGGACTGACACAGGGAAACGCAGGTTTCAGGTACAGTATAATACAGTTTATTATTAGCCACCCAGATATATATATATAAAAAACGCACAGTGAGCAAACCAACCTTCCAGATATATATATATAAACGCACAGTGAGCAAACCAACCTTCCACTAATCTTAGGAGATGCAGGAACACAGGCGTAGTCAGGGCTGGAGAGGTGGAACGGTCAGGCTGGCCGTAGGGTTCTGTAATGACCGTTTGGTGGTACCTCTAGTGGTCCCCAGGACAGGATTCCCCAGGGCGCGGAGTCTAAGTCCCAGTCTGCTATTCACCAGGGCCCCTGATGGTGGGGATGGACTTGGAGCAGACAGGAACCAGGTCGCGGCCCCTGAGTACACCTGCTAGTGGTAGAGGGATCCGCCAGAGGTATGTGCAGGTACGGCTGGATCCGTGCAGGATGGATGGATGGCAGAGTAGTTAGCGTGGTCAGACGGGCCAAGTCAGCAACGTGCGGGCAGCAAAGTATCAAAGGAGCAGGCAGAGAATGGTCAAGGTCACAAGCCGGGTTCAGTAACTCACGGGCAGCGCGGTACAGGGGATCAGGCAGAAGGATTGTCAGGCAAGCCAGGGGTTCAGCAGGAGACGGTCAGCAGAGGTCAGAATCAAGCCGGGTCAGCAACAAAGCAGGAACACAAGATACCAGGTACAGAGGCTCATGGGAAAACATACACCAAGGCCCAGAGCACAGGCCTGGTCATGCCTTATATACACCTTTCTGTAATCAGCCCCAGGTTTTGCTGATTGTGAGCTTCTGGCTGCTAAGAGCACCCGCTGGTCAGCTCTGGTACTGCAGCCCACACGGCAGGTGAGTCCCACCACTAGTGCTGAGAGCACCCGCTGGTCAGCTCTGGTACTGCAGCCCACACGGCAGGCGAGTCCCACCACCAGTGCTGAGTCCATTCCTGACAGTTTGGAGCGTCCTGAGGCCGCTCCTTGGGGGGGGGGGGGGGGGGGGTACTGTCAGGAATGGACTTGCCAATAATGGTGGGACTCACCTGCCTTGTGAGCTGCAGTACCAGGGCTGGCCAGCGGGTGCTCTCAGCAATCAGAGACTCACCCCTGCAGTCAGCCAAACACCTGAAGCTGATTGCAGGGGTTGTATTTAAGGAATGGCCAGACTCACAGTCAGGTCCTTGGTGTGTGTTTTTCCATGGGCCCCTGTATCTTGTGTTCCTGTTTCTGTTTCTGCCTTACTTGTTGCCGACCCAGCCTGATCCTGACCTCTGCTGACTTCTCCTGTTTGATCCCTGGCTTGTGACCCTGACCATTCTCTGCCTGACCCTCTGCACCGCGCTGTCCGTGAGTTACTGAACCCGGCTTGTGACCCCGACCACTCTCCCGTTTGTTCTTGGTACTCCGTTTGCCCGTTTGCTACTGATCCGGCCTGCCTGACTACTTTTTGTATTGTATGTATTGTTATCGGTGGGTGGTTTGGTTTGGTTTGTTTGCACTGTGTTTATGTTTAGTTTTGCACTGCGTTTTGTATTGTTAGTCTAAATAAATCATATTGTTTATACCATATCTGAAGCCTGCGTTTCCCTGTGTCAGTCCACACACCTCTGGTCATACCCGGAGCTCTGACAGTGGCCTAGGTATGGTCAACCCAGTTGTTTTTTTCGCTTTGATGTTTATTAAACACAATATTGATAGTATGCTAAAAGAGAGACCGCCTGCATGGGTAGGCCTCTTTCACGTCTGGTTTAGGCCTTTCCTGAACTCTTGGGAGAGAGGCGGGCCAGTGAGAAGCTTGAGAGCCAAGCATGGTAAGCTCCCGGCTTATGTCGCCCCGTATTTGAAGATTCTTAGGCGGTGGTGTGTGACGGTGGAGGAAGTCAGGTCGCTCCCTGGGAGACTCCTGAAGGAGAGGGTCGTGGCCTCTGCTTTTCATGCACCGCTGGCTTTGAAGGATTGCCCAGGACATATTTTGCGGGAGGGTCTACGATTGTTAAATTTGGAGAGGATTCCCTTAAAATTTAGGGACCAGGCCTGGCTTGCGTTTCATGGCAGGCTCTACATGAGGGGAAATCTGAAGTGCCATCCTTTGGATGACCGTGGTTGTCCGAGGACGGAGTGTGGGGGTGAAGTGGAGAGTATGGACCACTTCTTGCTTCAATGTTCCTTCAGTGTAGAGGTGTATAAAGAGGTGGGGAGGGCTCTAGATATCCCCTTCCTGCATGGCATGTCTTATGCTGAGTGGGTGTATGGGGCATTAGAAAGCCATGCTGGTTTTGATTTAAACACTCTTTTCTTAGTTTGTCTAGTGGTCCGATATTACACGTGGACTGCACTGTGTCAGATTTGCCTGCGGCAGAAGGTCCTTCCTGTTCAGTTGGTGGTGTGTGACATTCTTGGTGAGGTTGGGACAGTTTGGGGTCTGGAGAAAGACAGATTGTGGCGAAGGGCCTGGATAGAGGCGTAGAGGAATATCAGGTCTGTAGCTGCCGTCTGTTAATCTCGAGGTGTGGTTACTGTCCTGTTTTTCCTTTCTTCTTTCACCCCCCTAGATTTTGTGAAGTCTTTTTTTGAAGATTGGCTACATGTCCTGAAGGTCTAGGTTTCTTTGCCTTTGGTGGGAGGGGTATGTTTGAGTACCTTAGTAGGTCATAAGGACCTAAGGATATGAAATAATGTTACCTCCCCGTTGTAGGGGATAAAGTGGAGTTTAAGGTTAAGCTATAAAGGCTGTGAATTTTTTTTGTGTGTGGCATTGTGCCTTTCCTGGTGTGAAGACTGTAGGGGCCGCCACGCAGGCATAACGTTCTATAAAAGGTTATAAAAGTTCTTTTCTGATGATATGGTCATAAAGATTGTGTTTAATTTTGGAGAATTATCCAGTTATGTTTATGTTGATTAACCAGATGTGTGGTTCTCTGTATTTATTTTTTGTACTTTTATATAAAATGTACGCTGGTCGCAAAATCTTTTTTCTAAATAAAATATTTCCAGCTATCCTACCCAGCCTGGGTGTGGTCGCATGGTGGAGAGCTCTGCAGTGCTTCCAGAGGCCTAAGAAAGCCAGGGGCTAGATTTGCTCTGCCTGCCCAGGGAGGATGAGCGGTCCTGGGCAGGATCCCGGTGGAGGGAGACCCCCTGAGAGCCTCAGTATCGGCCTCATACCAACACCTGTTGAGGACCTGGGAATAGGCCCAAGGAAGGAGGAAAGTTAGAGTATGTAAAGAGACCGTGTGGCAGCTCATATTGGCCGCCTTGGACATGAGGAGGAGAAGCTGAATGCATGGAGGTTGGAGCTGAAGCATTTTAGATGTTCCTATGACCGTGTATGGAGCACCAAAAGGCAGGTTATGAAGCCTGAGCTGGAGGCACTTGAGCACAAAGTGCACGAGCAGACTCGGTTTGTAGCATCTCTGAAAGCCGCCAGTGGTCTGCTCAAAAAAAAAATATCAGAATGAGAAGCATTTTAAGCTTGCCAGGAGCAAGTCCCTGGCTGCTGCGAGGGGCCATGGGGAGGTGGGGTCATCATCCTTGGAAGACCTGTCGGGTGACCTGGCTAAGGAGAAGAGGAGTGAGGGAGTGCAGGAGGAGCCAAGATTGGGGGTCTCAAATGGAGGAGGCTGAGTGTACTGGTTCCCTAGATTTTGTGGCTGAAATGGAGTCCCCTCTGCAGGGGCAGCAGTTCTGTTTCACATCAGAGGATTCTGACAGTGAAGATGACAGGGTCCTGAAGCCGGTGAAGCTGAAGGAGAGGGAAAGAGCATTGTACCTGCAGCTGCACAGGCTCTCCAGTGAGCTGGAGGGTGGTGTGAAGTTAGCTGTCAGTGAGCCTGTGATTACTGACATGGATCTGCAGGTGGGCAGGATGGAGCCTCGTGCATCGGTGTGTGCCGTGAGTATGGACTCTAAGGACATTGTGCTGTCTGATGATTGTGTCGCTATGTGTACAGGTACCCCCGATGTCACTGATCCTGCTGCTATGGTCCCCCCCCCCCGCAGCTCCAGTCCCCTACAAGGCTCCGGCCCCTCCCGCGGCTCCTATGCGTCCTGCAGCTCCCATCCCTCCCGCTGCTCTCATCCCTCCTATGGATCCCATCCCTCCTGTAGCCTCTGTCCCTTCAGCGGCTTCTATCCCACCTGCACCTGCTATTTCTCCTTCCCTCCCGGTGTTAAGACCAGCCTCGACTCCTGTACGTAATTAAGGTACTATATAAGGCAATGCAATAGTAGTTCCCTCCCAGTTCTGACGAAGTCTGCGGTGATTGGCGGACGAAACGCGTCAACGTGATGACATCATTACGCTCGGCGTCTCCATAGGGTGCGCGCCCACGAGGAAGGAAGAAGCGGCTTGCTTCAGCTCCACACTAGAAAGGCAGGAGACACTCAAATTATGATGAGGATATCATCTTAAGCAGCCCGCACATGGCAATTTTGAGTCACAGCCTACTTCCACCGGTGGCAAGTTTGTAGCCGTTTGGCTAAATTAGGCTTTAGTACTGTTTATATATACGGGTAATATACCCTTACATTTTGGAATCCTGTGCCTATTTACCTCAGTTTTGGGGAATTTTTGAACTCCTATTGGAGAAATATGTATACAATACGCTTTATATGTGCTGTGGCATGCAAAAACAGTCTCATATATTTCTAAGGAACCTATCTATGATATCTATGATAGAATGTCCATGTTAAAAGAAATATATAGGGAAAACAAAAAGAACCCTCAGAATTAGGATAGGCGAACATCTGAGAGACATTAAAAATGAGAATAAGCATGGAAATGATAAAGAGAGGGAAAACCCGCTTGCTCAACATTTTAAGGATGTACATGGGGGGAAAAACTGAAGGCCTAAAAGTCAAGGGAATTTTCCTGTTAAACATCTCAGCTAGACGAGGTGATTTTGATAAAGTTCTTCTCCAAAAAGAAAAGTACTGGATATATACTCTTGATACATTAGTCCCATATGGTTTGAATACAGAACTCAATTTCAAAGTTTTTTTTGAATTGAATAGAAGATATATTCTTGATACTAGTTCCATATGGTTTGAATACGGAACTTAATTTTAAAGTTTTTTGAACTAAATAAAAGATTTATTTTAGGGTTTAAGATTATTCACATTGCCATTCGAGCCAAAAGAAAAAAGAATCTTTGGTTTGAATTTTTTTGTCTATGGTGACCTTTTTCTCTTGAAATAAGGCTTTCTCTTCAATGTCACCATTGAGTATATGTTTTTTTTGTATGACTTTTGGTTTTAAATGTAGTGATGGTTTTTCAACACAAGAGGGTGACATAAACAACAATGTATGGAATTAAGGTACTATGTAAGGCAATGCAATAGTAGTCCCCTCCCAGTTCTGATGAAGTCTGCGGTGATTGGTGGACGAAACGTGTCAATGTGATGACATCATTACGCTCGGCGTCTCCATAGGGCGCGGCGCCCACGAGGAAGGAAGAAGCGGTTTGCTTCAGCTCCACACTGGAAAGGCAGGAGACACTCAAATTATGATGAGGATATCATCTTAAGCAACCCGCACATGGCAATTTTGAGTCACAGCCTACTTCCACCGGTGGCAAGTTTGTAGCCGTTTGGCTAAATTAGGCTTTAGTACTGTTTATATATACGGGTAATATACCCTTACATTTTGGAAATCCTGTACCTATTTACCTCAGTTTTGGGGAATTTTTGAACTCCTATTGGAGAAATATGTATACAATACGCTTTATGTGCTGGGGCATGCAAAAACAGTCTCATATATTTCTAAGAAACCGTACTACTTTCTCATTATTTGAGTAATTTTTGGAAACCCTGATTTGGGTCTATATATTCAAGTATACACAGACTGTGTCAACCAGTCCGGACTCTATACATTAGCCATTTGGCTTCCTACCCCCATATTCACCTTTTCTTCCAGACCTGATCTTACTTCAAGTGAGGAGGAGTCCCCTTGATCTTTTGTATGGTAATATTTAAACCCTTCTTTTACCCTTATTTTAGTCTCATTCAGGTTTGCAGGTAGTTTGATATTTATGTCTTATATTTATACATTTTTAGAATCACTTACTACTGTGGATACATTTCCATTTGGGGTGGTTACCCAGGAAGGCTATATATCTATCCTTTCATGATGGTCAAGTTTATGAGAAGGTAATGGAATAACATACCGTATTTTTCACTCCATAAGACGCACTTTTTTCCCCCAAAAAAGGGGGGGAAAATGTCAGTGCGTCTTATGGAGCGAATATGGAGCGGCCGGTCCGGTATTTCCACCGCCACCGTGTCAGAATACCGGGCCGGCCGCTCAGCTCTGCAGTGGGATTTTACCTGTTCCTCTATCCAGCGGCGCGCTGTCTTCCCGGCTTCTGTAGTGTGCGTGACAGCCGGGTCCCAAATGCGCATGCGCAAAAAGCGGTGCACTTTGTGAATGGTAAGGCGGTACCTGGGACACATGACAGATCCCAGAAGCCGCCGGACCAATCACAAAGCGCAGCGCTTCTTGCTCATGCGCACTGGGCATCCGACTGTCCGCCGAGCGCCCACACTACAGAAGCCGGGTAGACAGCGCGCTGCTGGATAGAGGAAAAGGTAAGATCAAAGAACAACTCCGTGGAAGTAAGAGCGGGTACCTGTCAAATTCAGGTACCCGCTCCCCCTCCCTCCCCAAAGGTCAGAAGTCATCTCCTGTACTGTCCACAGTCTCTGGTCATCCCTGTGCTGTCTGCAGTCTCTGGTCATCCCTGTGCTGTCTGCAGTCTCTGGTCATCTCCTGTACTGTGTCCGCAGTCTTTGGTCATCTCCTGTACTGTGTCCGCAGTCTCTGGTTCTCTCCTGTACTGTGTCCGCAGTCTCTGGTCATCCCTGCATTGTCTGCAGTGTCTGGTCATCTCTGTACTGTCCGCAGTCTCTGGTCATCCCTGTACTGTCCGCAGTCTCTGGTCATCCTTGTACTGTCCGCAGTCTCTGGTCATCCCTGTACTGTCCGCAGTCTCTGGTCATCCCTGTACTGTCCGCAGTCTCTGGTCATCTCCTCTACTGTGTCCGCAGTCTCTGGTCATCTCCTCTACTGTGTCCGCAGTCTCTGGTCATCTTCTGTACTGTGTCCGCAGTCCCTGGTCATCTTCTGTACTGTGTCCGCAGTCCCTGGTCATCTCCTGTACTGTGTCCGCAGTCTCTGGTCATCTCCTGTACTGTGTCCGCAGTCTCTGGTCATCTCCTGTACTGTGTCCGCAGTCTCTGGTCATCTCCTGTACTGCGTCCGCAGTCTCTGGTCATGTCCTGTACTGTGTCTGCAGTCTCTGGTCATGTCCTGTACTGTGTCCGCAGTCTCTGGTCATCTCCTATACTGTGTCTGCAGTCTCTGGTCATCTCCTGTACTGTCCGCAGTCTCTGGTCATTTCCTCTACTATGTCCGCAGTCTCTGGTCATCTCATGTACTATGTCTGCAGTCCATTAGTTCAGAATTTTTTTTTCCTGTTTTCTGCCTCTAAAACCTAGGTGCGTCTTATGGTCAGGTGCGTCTTATGGAGCGAAAAATACGGTATATACCTGTCATGGGGTTGTTCTGTTATTGCATATGGCTAGTGCATATATTCCTTTTTTTGTTCCCTCTACTATGATCCTTTCTTTTCTGGTTTTAGAAATTTTAGGAGTCATTCTATTCACTGTGGTGGTTACCAAAACAATTTTTTGAAGAATGCTCTCCCTATGCAGATACCGTATGGAAAATACGAAAATTCTTTGATCAAGTAGTTAGGAGCTTCATTGCCTTATGTGGATTCCTGATTGCCGTATAACGATTAGATCTGGAGACGCCAAATGTTTTTAAATTTAGTGATTTTACTATTACTTGTTTACCATGTCTCTGTCTAACCTCCGTATGATCCATGTGATCGAATAAAACGTTTTTGTAAATACTAATTATATTACTCCGCTTGGATTTTCTAATAACCACTCTGTGTGAGCAGTATTGCACTTGTCATACTGCTACTTTTTATGTTATGTATATCGGGTTTATAAATCCACACTAATTACTAGTGAGACGGAGATATCTATATGACACATATTTACTTGTCATATTAGGTGGCTATTCTCTTTTTGTCTATCCCACCTGCACCTGCTATTTCTCCTTCCCTCCCGGTGTTAAGACCAGCCTTGGCTCCTGCGGCTGGTACATTGAGCTATTCAGTAGCCACTGAGAGGAGGTCAGGGTGTTGGTAAGCCTGCTGAGATGCGTGTGGAGGGTCACCTACTGCAATCAGCAGAAGGAATGTGGTGCAACTGAGGTGGACGGGTGAGGGCCCCCCACCAAGCAGGAAGGAAGTTTTGGATAGGGTCATTGAGATGGGCTTTCAGGCGGCAGATATCTTTCCGTTTATTGCCCCTATGGGTACAGGGGAGTACGATATCTCCTTTGTTAGGGCAGACAGCCTGGACATATTCTGGCAAGGATATGAGGCTTATTGTAAAGCGTCCCCTAGGTGGGCGGGGCTTCTCCCTAAGGTCGTTTCTCGCCAGCCCCTGATAAAGAATGTTACCATCTTAATTAGGAATGAGTCCATACCAGCGGCGGACATAATGATATGGTTGGGAAGGTATGGAGAGGACCCCTACGTAAGATTCTGGATGACGGGGATATGGACGGGAGGTTGGACGGCCGCAGTAAAGCTGAGGGTGGTGGGAAACGTAATACAGCATCTTCCCTCTTCAGCCTTTTTGGGAAGGGACCGCCTGGTGGCATTCTATGCAGGGTAGCCCAAGCTCTGCCATCGTTGTGGCAGTAAGGGCCACTTTTCTGCATCATGCGTGGTGTTGAAATGTTCATTATGCCAGGAGGTGGGGCATTTGGCAAGGGATTGCAATCAAATTAGGTGCAATCTTTGCCTAAATCTCTGCCATGCCTACAGCAAGTGCCCTGAGGCACTGCATAATCAGCCAGAACTAGTAACTGTGCTTGCTAGGATAGAGGCGGAGGAGGCAGCTGCAGATGTAGCCCCTCAGGTAGTGTCCGCTGCAGTGGCAGTGGCCACCGCAGCAGCTGCTGAAGCCACTTCATCCCCAAGTGTTCCCCCTGTTGTATCCGTACCCTCCCCGTGTGTTGTGTCTGTGGGTGTCAAGTCTGTGTGTGTGTCTTCCCCTTCCCTAGTGTCATCTGCATCCCCTGCTATGTCTGATCCCCAGGCTAAGGCTAAAAAGAAGGGGATAAGCAAGGCGGCTGAGGGGCTGGTCTGGCTCGGCATTCTGTTGCCCCTTTACCAGCCCTTCTCCTGCTGCGTTGCCGTAGCAAGACTGTGGAAGGTCAGGAGTCTGCTGGGGGTGGGCCGGGTGTGGGGGAGGATTGGTCGGTGGTTGGGAAGGGAGGCAAGAATAGGACGGTCCTCTCTCCTTCATCTTCTATTTCCTCTCTGGAGGTTGATGAGTTAGCTTTAAGTAATATATTTGAGACCTTGTCTGGGGATGGTGGGGGACCGGTTGACTCCCCCTCCCCAATGGAGGAAGAGGAGGCAGGGGGGTCCCTGAAAAGGGCCAGGCCCCCTTCTAAGAAAAGGCAGGACAAAGGCTAAGAAAATGCCAGTCTTAATGACCCAAATGGCAGTTCCCACTCCGATTAAGGTGGCAACCATTAATGTTGCCAACATAAAGTCTGTAAGCACTAGGAGTACAGTCTTATTTTTGCTCAGTGGTATTGGAGCGGACATTTTATTTTTGCAAGAGACCTGGCTTAACAGCCTTGCTGATGTTCATCTGGCTAAAAGGGAGTGGAGGTGTGGTCCCTCCTTCTGGTCTCTTGCGGCTGAGCCTTACAGAGGAGTTGCAGTACTTTTTACCGGCATGGTAACGTGTCGACGGGTCATTGAGGTGGAGATTGGAAGATGTTTGATCTTGGATGTCCTTTTGAGGGGGGCAGGAACTGCGCCTTGTTAATATTTATGGACCGCAGTCCAGGTGGGACAGGAAATACCTCTTTAGAAGGATCAAGCCTTTTCTTTTTATGTCCCGGCAGGTTGTCTTTGGAGGTGGTTTTAACACCATGACTAGGCCCAAGGACAGGAAAGGCTCCAATGACAGGCTGGGATATGATAGCGTTTTTCTAAATGCAATAGTCAGGGAAGCAGGTCTGGTGGATGCCTTAATTAAGAGCAGCCCGGACAGCACTGGTTTCACGTTTAGGAGAGGTAACTGTCAGAGTAGGATAGACAGGTTTTTTTTGAAGGGGGACTCTGTTTTCGGCACCTTAGTGTCGGGGGGTGGAGTTTTCCGACCACCTTTTACTTACTGTGACTTTGAATGTTTCAGATGTGCCACTGAGAGGGAAGGGCATCTGGAGGATGAATTCAGCCCTGCTGGATGATGAGAAAGTAAGACGATCTTTTGAGGAATTTTTTCAAGCTCAGGAGACCTTCCTGGATTTCTGCAACAGTAAGTCGGAGCGGTGGGAGCTTACCAAAGTGTGTATTGCCAGGTTTTTCTAGGCCCTAGGAGAAAGGAAGCAACTTGGTAAATATATCGCCTACCAACAGTTGCGGAGGAAACTCGACCGCCTCGTCTCTAGCGGTGGAGATTCTGGGGCAATCTCGGAGGTTAAGCTTCCCCTTAAGAAGTACCAGTATGATCGGCATGCTTCTTTGGTTCTGGAGAGGGATTATGGGAAGTACCACTCGCCTGATCCCTTCCAGAATTGCAAACAGAGTGCAGCGATTAAGACGGTCACCGGCTTGAGGGATAGTACGGGGTCCCTGACAAAATCCAGGTCAGGGATTCTGGAGGTCTCTAGGTCTTTTTATGAGGAACTTCTGAGTGAGAGGCACCTTGACCGGGCGAGGATGTGAGCTTTTTGGATTCTACACTGGGTTTGGAAGGTAACATTCCGTCTGCAAGTTTGACGGGAAATTACAGCAGAAGAGGTAGCCAAAGCTATTGATGGTCTGGCCATTAAGAAAAATCCTGGGCCAGATGGTTAGACAGCGGAGTTCTTTAAAACTTTTAAGTCCAGCTTGGCACCTCGCCTTGCAGAGGTTTATAATTGCTGTCTGGATGAGGGGTCACTCCCTCACTCTATGAGGCAGTCTGCTGTAATTCTGCTGTCAAAGGGTGTCATGGAAATTTTGTATTGTTGGTTGAACTTTAAATGTGTCCTATATGAGTGTTATTCATATGTCTCTCGTGTGGCTTAATTAAAGCTCTGAAGGCTGCAATTGGGCATGCGCATGTACAATGTATGTATTACAGTACTCAGCTCGGTAATGGATGAGATGGCGGATCTGCGCTTATAGACCGGCGTGTATACCACCACGGCATTCGATGCGAATGCCGCTGGCAGTAGACCGCGGGCCTGTATCCACATATCAGCAGCATAGTACCACATGGACTTCATAACGCAAGGCGCCAAGCGGTATGAACTCCGCGTGTAGGCTTATGCATATCTTACAACCCATTACCAATCTGAACTGTATCTGGATGGATGTGTTTTAATAAAGATCGTATCGGGCCCATCCAGGTACAGACTGATGTTCCTAGGGGATGCTTGTACAGGGAATGGACATACTGCTAGGAGCTGGGAAATATGCTGTCCATAGAGGGCTCATGGGGGGAAAGGGAGGAAGTCTGCTGACCTCAGAAGGCTCATGGGGGAGGACCAGTGATAGATAATAGGAAAGGCTATGCTCCAATCGGAATGTACATCCTGTGTATAGGCACTCTCCCCATTGCATTGTTCTGTGGGAGGGGTTTGACCTTATTCATGTGGGGGGGGGGCATGTGTGTATTTGTAATAAAACCAAAGGGGAGAATGAAAACTTCCTCTATGTGAATTCCAACAGCAACCTGAAAGTGTCGTGTGATCATTTCCAGGTATAGAGAGCTCCACCCCCCACATCTCAACAGAAGCTAAAAGTAGTTGGATGGGCAGGAATTGTGTAGTTTAGCTGCAGTCGTGGTAAGCGAGATTCGCACAGCTTTATGGGGGATTTCTGCGCATCCAACTGCGAGTACTCACGGTAAGGAGAAATTCGTTAAAGCGAAATTCCAAGACAGTTTGGCGAGCCAGTGGATACTAACGTGAATTCTGCGATAGCTAACCAAGTTCGAGGGGGGAATG